GCCTGCTGCTGCTCGCACAGTCTCATGAGGCGGTGAGTGGGAAGGCCGAAGTTACGCTGCAGCGCAGACAGACGAGCAGCAGCAGGATGAGAACGCCAAAAGTGCTCACAGACGGCCTGCACTTTCTGCAGCAGCTCTGATATATCTGGGTATACACTGTGGCATCACAAGGGCCACCCAGAACTGGCTCAGCTCCCATCAAGCCAAGTTCCTGGAGGAGATCACCCAGCTCGTCATGCTAGAGCACTTTTTCAATGTGCTCCCCAACTAGAAGGCGATGATACATTCGTATGTCAGTCCATATCAACTTTCGATGCCATTGTATGCGCCTACAATGGTTACCACGGGTAACGGGGAATCAGGGTTTGATTCCATACAGGGACCCTGACAAACAGCTACCACATGCAAGGAAGGCAGCAGGCGTGCAAATGACCCACTCCTGACACGGTAAGGTAGTGACGACAAATAACAATACAGGACTCTTTAGAGGCCCTGTAATTGTAATGAGTCCACTTGAAATCCTTTAACTCTGATCAATTGGAGGGAAGTCTGGTGCAGAGCCACTGACCCGTGTGTACTGCAGCTGAAACTCCACTATCGCCTGCTGCTGCTCAAACAGTCTCTCCAGCAAGTGCAAGGTGGAGTTCCACCTTGTGGGCACATCGCATATGAGGCAGTGAGCGGGAAGGCCAAAGTCACGCTGCAGCGCAGACAGGCAAGCAGCAGCAGGGTGAGAACGCCGAAAGCTCACACAGCCGCTACAGTGAATGTCCCATCCTGTTCCAAGTTGCAGATCAGTCTGGTGATGGCTTCTGGTATCCAGTACTCTTTTTACTGAAGCTGCATCAGAGTCCTGGTATGTGGCCGCACAAACGCTGGTGCTCAACACCAGGGGGTGTGTGGTTACCCTGCACCAGACCCTGATAATCCATTCCACACTGTGACTCCTTACTTCTATATCAGGCATACTGGTCCCGGTCGTCCGACCGCCACAGTGTCTGGGTCCCGTTCACCAGCCTGCAAAACTGTGAATGGCTCGTTAAATCTGTTATGGTTCTTTTTATCGCTTCAACTGCTACTTGGATAACTGTGGGAATTCTGAAGATAATACATGCCGACGAGCGCTATGGGACGGCCGCTCTGCTTTTGTATCCTGCTCCCGCTTATGCTGTGCTGGTGCCGCTGTGCGACCAGCGCCTCTTCCTCCAAACTGCACACGTCACTCGCATGACCTTGATTCCATGTGGGGTCTAGGACCTCATCATCCTCAACATCACCTTCCACCCACTCCTCAACCCTGCACTCCCTGCCGGTATGCACACTGCAGAAAGCCACAGCAGTTGGCACCTGTGTTTTTCCAGCATGTAAAGTCTGCAAAGGACATATGGAAATTATTTTAGAATTGTATCCAGGCAACAGTTTTCCATATAAACTGACCTCTCAGTTTGACTTGTGAGGGTATTGCCCCAGAATTACAATATTGTTGAAGTACCTCTTAGCTATTGATAACTGGTTTAAATATAGCAGCTCTGGTAGTTTCTAGTGTAGAAAATATCAATCTGTTTTCTATCACTTAGATCTGTGTAACAAGTGTTGTAGGTGTGAAACAATATTACAAGTGACTGATGTATTAAATTCGAATCAAAGTTACGCTTCTATTTGACTCTCAGAAATGAAGAGCAGGCCCCAAAATGTGCTATTTAGCAGATTAGCACCCAGAAAATTAGAATCTTTACAACTGCGCTTTAAGCACACTATTAGACGCTTCGATTTGACTCTCAGATATGAAGAGCAGGCCCCCAAAATTTACTATTTAGCAGATTAGCAGCAAAACAATTAGAATGTTTACCACTGCGGTGTAAGCGCACTATTAGACGCTTCTATTTGACTCTCAGATATGAAGAGCAGGCCCCAAAATGTACTATTTAGCAGTTTAGCACCAAAACAATTAGAATGTTTACAACTGCGCTGTAAGTGCACTATTTGACGCTTCTATTTGACTCTCAGATATAAAGTGCACCCCACTAAAATACTATTTAGCAGTTTAGCACCCAAATAATTTTACGTTTTAAAACTGCAATGTGACAGCAGTATTTGCCGATTCTAATTGGCTCTCAGATATGAAGTGCACCCCACTAATGTACTATCCCACTAATGTACTATTTAGCACCAAAAAAAAATTGACTTTTTAAAACTCTGATGTAACCGCGGTATTTGAAGCTTCTATTTGACTCTCAGATATGAAGTGCACCCCACTAATGTAGTAGTTTGCAGAATTCTTTCCTAAGCTGTCCCTCACAGCTGCAGCATCCTCTCCCTACACTAATAAGAGCTCATGTGCGTGCGGCGCTACACAACTCCAGCTTATATATAGAGGCTGGGTCACATGCTGCACTGGCCAATCAAAGCCATACCATTAGTAGGCATGACTGTGATGGCTTCTAAGGGCACACAAGTCAAACGCTTGTTGATGGGCTGACATGCAGCCTTTGAAAACACGCCATTAAATCACCGAACTCCAACCCGAACATACAGTGATATGTCCGTGTTCGGGTCCGGGGTCCAAACAGTCCGGGTTCGCTCAACTCTACTAAGCAACTGTTGATGCGGCATGTTGGGTCTGTGGTATCAATGGTCAAATCAAAACCATTTTTTTTATATAATAATCCTTTCATCAAGCTTTAAAAAGAAATATATTTACATATATGTAAAACAATGAGAAAACCTCAACCCTACCTTTAGTATATGCTTCAGCCATGCATGCACTTTGGATCAGACAGTATTTGAAAACGGACAGAAAACTGATAGTCTTCCCAGCTTCTGTGCAGGGAGTGAAGCAAGTGAGACCATGGATACTATTTCTATTCATGTCACTGATTTTATCTTAGCCCTAAGAATTCATACTCCAGTCTTGCACAATACAATGCCCTCTCTATAAAATGTGTAGTTTTGCTTAGTCTCCCCGAACAATTCCTGCCTGCAATTATATTTCTTGGCACTTGGGGCAGGAGTGGTTCCCCTGTGCTGAAGCACTTTTAAGTACTTTTTCCTTTAATTTGGACACTTAAAAAATGGGCTTGTTTACAGCCTTGTTGGTAAATAGCTGCAATAAGCGATTGTTAACAACAGCTTGTAGTCTTGTAGTGGCTACATATTGCCAACAGGTTTTAAACCCTGTTGCCAATTTTTTTTAGCTTATCGCTAATCTATATGGATATTAATCAACCACTTACATATTAGTGGCTTTCTGGTAGAACACAGAAACCTCAATAAATACATTGCTCGAAAAATAAAGGGAACACTAAAATAACACATTCTAGATCTGAATGAATTAAATATTCTTCTGAAATACTTTGTTCTTTACATAGTTGAATGTGCTCACAACAAAATCACACAAAAATTAAAAAATTGAAATCAAATTTTTCATCCCATGGAGGTCTGGATTTGGAGTCACACTCAAAATTAAAGTGGAAAAACACACTACAAGCTGATCCAAATGTAATGTCCGTAAAACAAGTCAAAATGAGGCTCAGTACTGTGTGTGGCCTCCACGTGCCATGATGTCCCAGATGTGCTCAATTGGATTCAGGTCTGGGGAACGGGTGGGCCAGTCCATAGCATCAATGCCTTCATCTTGCAGGAACTGCAGACACACTCCAGCCACATGAGGTCTAGCATTGTCTTGCATTAGGAGGAACCCAGGGCCAACCGCACCAGCATATGGTCTCACAAGGGGTCTGAGGATCTCATCTCAGTACCTAATGGCAGTCAGGCTACCTCTGGTGAGCACATGGAGGGCTGTGCGGCCCCCCAAAGAAATGCCACCTCACACCATTACTGACCCACTGCCAAACTGGTCATGCTGGAGGATGTTGCAGGCAGCAGAACGTTCTCCATGGCGTCTCCAGACTCTGTCACATCTGTCACATGTGCTCAGTGTGAACCTGCTTTCATCTGTGAAGAGCACAGGGCGCCAGTGGCGAATTTGCCAATCTTGGTGTTCTCTAGCAAATGCCAAACGTCCTGCATGGTGTTGGGCTATGGACATCGGGCCCTCATACCACCCTCATGGAGTCTGTTTCTGACCGTTTGAGCAGACACATGCACATTTGTGGCCTGCTGGAGGTCATTTTGCAGGGCTCTGTCAGTGCTCCTCATGTTCCTCCTTGCACAAAGGCAGAGGTAGCGGACCTGCTGCTGGGTTGTTGCCCTCCTACGGCCTCCTCCACGTCTCCTGATGTACTGGCCTGTCTCCTGGTAGAGCCCCCATGCTCTGGACACTACGCTGACAGACACAGCAAACCTTCTTGCCACAGCTCACACTGATGTGCCATCCTGGATGAGCTGCACTACCTGAGCCACTTGTGTGGGTTGTAGACTCCGTCTCATACTACCACTAGAGTGAAAGCACCGCCAGCATTCAAAAGTGACCAAAACATCAGCCAGGAAGCATAGGAACTGAGAAGTGGTCTGTGGTCACCACCTGCAGAACCACTCCTTTATTGGGGTGTCTTGCTAATTGCCTATAATTTCCACCTGTTGTCTATCCCATTTGCACAACAGCATGTGAAATTGATTGTCACTGAGTGTTGCTTCCTAAGTGGACAGTTTGATTTCACAGAAGTGTGATTGACTTGGAGTTACATTGTGTTGTTTAAGTGTTCCCCTTTATTTTTTTGAGCAGTGTATACATACACACCAAGAAAGTTATAATGGGGGAAAAAGTGATTGAAAACCCCTTCCATCTGTATTTAGTGGATAACCAAAACATTATTAAACACAGATCTGCAAACAACCAGTGATGAGACTTGTTTTTCCCACAGAAATCTCACATTTGCAGTAATGTCACTACTGCAAGGGATTCTGGGTGGGCATATGCAAATGAGTTCAACAAAGAATCACCTTTTTCCTCATTATTTCATTTTAACCCCTTAAGGACCGAGGACGGTTCAGGACCGTCATCGGCATTTTTGCCTTGAGGACCGATGACGGTCCTGAACCGTCCTAACGGTCTGGGGGTACTTACCTGATCGCCGTCGTTCCCCCGGCGGCGATCAGCGTTGCTCCCGTTGTGGGGAGACTGCCTGCAGCCTAGACAGTCTCCC